AGAAAATCAAAAGTTCACAGCATTTCAAAAGATACTAACTTCAAACATGAAGTTTTTGATTCTCCAAAAAGATACTCTATAATTTTAAATTTAAAATTTTGAGTTATGAAACTTCAAATATAGAGTATCACTATAGATTTGACAGTAGAAAATCAAAAGTTCACAGCATTTCAAAAGATACTAACTTCAAACATGAAGTTTTTGATTCTCCAAAAAGATACTCTATAATTTTAAATTTAAAGTTTTGAGTTATGAAACTTCAAATATAGAGTATCACTATACAAAACTTCAATTTTGAAGTTTCATATTTTATTTGTATTTTAACCTTTACAATTACACATAATATTTATAATTCTTAAATATTTTGTTGTTTATCATTTAGTCCTTAAAAATTTGTATCTCATAAATATTTCAAAGTTATTTTTATAAATTTAAGTTTTACATTTTTTTAAAGAAAAAGATCAAGATAAGATTTAAAATATTTTAAAATTAAAACTATACAATAACAATATTACAAGACTTAAGGTGATATTTTGTTAATTTAATATTTAATTATATGCTTTTATTTATAATTTTATATTTTAGTGTAACATTTTATCAATTAATATTGCTGTAATAGTTTTATATATGTGATTAGTTATTTATAAAAAAAAAATTATGAATTTGAATTAGTTATGACAAGAACTATAGTATAAAATACAAATAATCTTATATATTAAAACATAAGTCAAAACTTTGATTCATGTGTGATTTTTTTTTTAAAAATAATCTATTTATTAGAAAGATTATCAAGATTATCAAATGTTACCTAATTTAATGATAACTAGATCATAACCCGCGCGGATGCGCGGGTTTTCTTTTTTTCAGATGCACTCTATAGAATTTAGTTTTATATAGTTTTGAGTTTTTCCAATTCGATTTTATGTTTAAAGAACAATATCAAAACGATATTTTGTACAAATAGCATCAAGCAGTGTATTATGTAGATGTAATCGTGCAGTGAAAACACTAATTCGGTATTTTTGTTCGAAGTGCAAAATTAAATTCAAATTTAACTATTTGCATTAAAATATAAGTTGAGAATTTAATTACTTCTAATCGTAATAATTATCCATAATTTTTAAAATAATATACAAATTTCCAGAATTTTTGGCATTAAACTTTATTTTATAAGTTATGTCAAATTCAAAGTTAACTTTGGTCTTAATTTGCAAGCACGTATATTTTTGGATGAAAAATTCATAAATAACTTAACAAATATTTTGGTAATTTGAAACAATTTATGTATTTAAAAAAAAAATTCATTTAAATCCGTATTTTTAAATTCACCCCGGACCGCGGTTAAACTGGTGATCCGATAATTCAATTTCGATTTTTAAAAATATCCATATTTAAAAAAATCATTAAAACCCGAGATTAGCCGATTAACTGATATGTAATATTTCAACCTGTAAAAATAAGTTATTTTCATTGTTTTATATATTATTTGAATTTTTTCATTTATCTATATAATTTGAAAGAAAATTGTGGAAAATATTAAAAAGGTGAGATTTAATATTTTGTATTCTTTGAACATAAGATTAGTGATAGTGTTGTTTGGAAACATGAATAGTAACATAAAGAAATAAGTATATTGTTTGGAAACATAGATAGTAGTATAAAGAAATAAATATATTGTTTGGAACCATGGATAGTATAATAAAAATATGAATATTAGTGGTTTAATGTATGTTTAACTGTAAAGTAGAAAGATATATTTAATTTAAAAACTTACAACATAAATGTTAGGTCCAAGCTAAAGTTTTGTTTTAATAAGATATATATATTTAAATATCTTTATCTTTCTATTTGAAATACAAATGAAATAAATCAAACAAAGTCTTTTTGGCATCTTTTAAAATTGTATTTATGTAAATCATTAAATTTAAATTCTAATTACCATGAAATATCATTAAAATTATTATTTTATTTATAAATGTAAATTTAAAATTATCTAAAATATTTCTAATTATATTTTAATGAAAATAATAATATAAATTTCTGGATTTTCGAATATACTTATTTACAAAATTAACTAAATTATGTTAGAAACAAAAACTGAAATTCTATTTAAAATGTACAAAATAATATATTATATATTTATCTATCTACACTATCAAAACGAAGTCATGAGTTTTATTTCAACCATCCTTTAAAACAGTTATCAAATTTTACATAACTTAATTATAATATCACCCCATATATTTATCTTTTATTTGAAATACAAATGTTTTTGTTTTAGAAATTAAAATTTATCTAGATTGCACTATATACTCCTAATACCTAAATAAAAAAACTATATACTAGAGTTTGACTCGCACAAAATTTTCATTTTATAAATATAAAACTTTGATAGCATTATAAAAAATTTGAATATATGATTTACATTTAATGTTATATATTATATAACTCTATAATTGTTTTTGTTTAAGTTGCTTACTCATCATTATTAATATATAGTAATTTGATTTCTAAATTTTAATTTATATTCTTATTGATTGTTATTACTTACTAATATATTTTTGATTTTGATACATAAATAATAATCTGAAATTCTTTAATATAGATTTTTAGTTTATGCAATTTGCATACAATACATTTTAACATTTGTTTAGATATAATACATAAAATTTTAATAATTAATAAAAGTTGTAATGTTGTTATTGAATTTTTGAATCACAAAATATTCCGCGCTTGGAAAGCGCGGATCAAAATTTAGTTTTCACTTCAACTAGATCTCGACCCGCACAACCGTGCGGGTGATTATTTTATTTTTACAGACATAATTATTTGTTTTACATGCTTAATTGTAATATTTACCATATTATTATTTTTTAATCTATATTATTAAAACATAAAATTTTTATAGTTCACATGGAATAATTTTATTTATTTGTTTTAAATTTTTAGTGATAACATCTTTTAAATCATGTGATACAAAATTCTAAATTGAAAATATTATTGGTTAAAAATCAAAATTTTAATTGAAAATTATTATATTAAATTAGTATCACAAATTTAATACATAAATTACATGATTTTATTTATAATTAAAAAATTAATCTGATATTTAAAATTTAAATGTTTTAGTTAAAGTGAAATATAGGTTTAATTTTTAAATAATCATAAAATTAACTAAATATTTTTTAAGAAACTAGGTAAAAATAAAATATACATTTATTTTAAATAAACACGATAAATTTTTTATAGTTTTATTTTAATGAAAGATGAAATATATATTTTTACATTGTAAATAAAACTAGTTTTCAGACTATTTCGAGAACGATATGTAAATTTAATATTCTTTTCGTCTAAAAAAATTTAGAAATTTATTACAATTATTTGATATCGTACACTTCCTAACAAAATTAAATAACGTTTGGCAGGTTTTGTTGGGGTTTTTTTCTTGCGAATTGTACTTCTTATTTTATATTACCTTTGGATTATATCTATTTATGGATTTTTTTCTTGCAAAATGTACTTCTTATTTTACAGCGTTTAATTATTATATTTCAATTTTTATCATATTTGTTTTTAATATGTCACCTAAAATATACATTTACAACATTCTTACAACACAACTTCACTTAGTGATAATATAAAATATGTAACTTCTAAAACTGAGTATTATTAATTTTTCCATATTTTGAATATTTTATGCCTGCATAAGATGCTTCCGAAAGAAGAGCTATGCAACTCGTTCTTTATCTCTATCATACTTCATTATGAAAATTTGCACAGCCTCTATCTCAGCATTGAAACTCTCACTTGTCCCACTTTCTTCCACATTGAAGATGTATCAACTTTCTTGCATTTGTAATATATGGAGATCAATGTGTTCAGTACTGAAACATTTCTATCAAATTCCAACTCAACCGATATCGCACTATATTTTTATGCCCGCACATCTATCAAATCCCAACTCAACCGATATAGCACTATATTTTTATGCCCACACCAGTCACCTAGTATGTAAATATTTATCAAGTATAAAATGGTTGAACGCCTTATCATTACTTTATGTTATAATAAAATATTTAATTTAATAAAATATTTTTTTATGAATATAAAAGTAAATAAGAAATGTATATTATAGTTTAAAAATTTTAAATATAAATAAAATTATTTTCAGGCAATTTATACAAATAATTTATTTTATTTTCATTATATAATCTTTTATTAATTATATATACTTTAAACAAATATTTTATAAAAATACATATATGGTTATATATAACTTATATTTTCTGTAAATAATTTTAAAATTAAAACTATCTAGCGCTTGAAAATGCGGATTAAATCTATTGAGGTAATTAAAACGGAATCAATCTTACTGCAGACTACTAATTATCAAGTAATTGATATTTTATTAGAAAACTATCTTTTGAACTAAAACTCAAACCGTAATGACAAAGAAGACAATCAAATTCCTTTCCATACTTTTGTATGTATTTGATTTCCATGTCCACCTCTAATATTATTTTTTTTATTTCTAAGCATTCATCATTAGGATTTAGGATTGTATATATTGGAACTATTATTTATATTTTCTTAGAAACTGTAAATTTAAAATATGAATTTGCAATAAATTATTATATAAACAGGCAATGATTTAATGTTTATGATAAATTGAGTAGTATTTGTTTTACAAATTTAACTCAGTGAAACTATATTACTGAAAAAAAATTATAATGTTAGATTAGTTTATGAATTATATGTGATATTTTGATATTTTCATTATCTATAATTTTGAAAAAAAAAAATCCTTGTTTTGATTATGATCAACACATCTGACTTATTATGGCACATATGCTGAATTTTCTGTTCATAATTCATGTTATGATGTCCAATAACTGAAATCAGAATTTACGTTCGTATAAAAAAGTAGGAAATTTGCAGTATTCTTTTCTAAACTCATGTTTATTTAAATAGATTTGGTGATAGTTTATAACAAATAAAAATTAAGATGTACAAGGATAAGTGCAGAAGCAGTTTATGCGTCCTTTTACGCAGAAGCCATATCCATTACGATGCATGGCTTTACACTGCACCTTACATGGTTTATTTTCACAAACTCCATGTACTTTTATCTCATCATGACACATTTCTTGTCCTTGTGACTCCTTCACCGTCCCTAATAACAAATATTGAAAACATGTATTAGCATCATCTTAATTATCTTTTATAAATTAAAAAGGTTATGAAAAATTAAATGTCATCAAATAAAATAGAAATATAAATATATTTAATATAATAAAATGTAAAACAAACCTAAAATAAGAACAACCATGAAAATAGCAAGGATGGTGGTTTTAGCCATTTTTTATGAAACGATAAAAAGTGAAAACTTTACAATAAAGAATAAGTGATGGCGTTGTATTGCATTCATGAGTATCGTATATATAACAAATTAGATGTGTACATGCTTACAAAAGTACCGAAATTTTCAAAATATAGAAAGAAAATAAGAGTCAACTTGTGATTAACTAGATGCATCATACGGTGTATAAGTCATGGAAAAAAATAGGAAATATATCAAAAATTAATTAAAACTGATAGAATTTAGAGTAAGGTATAAGAGATATAAGTCAATATGTATTCATTATCAGTTGACTCTAATTTTATAAAATCTCCAAGCTTAATAGAAATGGTAGAAAATATTAGATAGAGATGGCACATATCAAATAATACCATAATTTTTGGTATTTGTGATTTGTTACTCTTTTATGGATATCTGATTTTTTTATTTACATTACTTTAGAGAAATATGGATATTCGGCTTTCAAAATATCAAAATTTTTTGGATTGATTAGAATAAAATCAATTTTAAGATATAAAATTTTCGGTCATTATATAGATTGCTTGTTTAAGTAGGATGGTCTAGATAAAATTAATTTTCAGTATGACGTGTAATTTAATTTGAGATGTAAATGTAAAATTCACCCACTTGAAAAGGTGTGTTACATGATTTACTCAACTTCAATAATTAATATAGAAACAACCTCGGAAAATCATAGCTCAATGGAGTGGTGTGGTCTGGTTTACGCAGGGCATACCGAGGTATGCGTTCATCACTTGGTTGTCTGTGTTAAATCGACTTTCCACAGGAGATAGAATGAGAAGCTGGGGGGGGGGGGCTGTACAAGGATATTGTGAGCTGTGTGGTGAGAGGAATGAGACAAGAGATCATATTTTTTTGCGCTTGTCCTTATTCATTCACTATATGGGAGAGCTTAGTGCAAGGATTCTTTGGGAGGAGAACAGATCCCGATTGGGATGAAACGATGAAGATGGTAGCTAGCCATAGAAACAATCGGCTAGACTTTATCTTGTTAAAGATGGTCTTTCAGATGACTATTTATCACATGTGGAGGAAGAGGAATGGAAGAAGACATCAATTGCCATGGAAATCTGCAGTTCAACTCCAGAAGAACATTGATAAAATGATGAGAAATCGAATTAGCTCCTTGAAGTACTTTGGCCATCACCGCAATGCAGGACTAATGCAGTAGTGGTTTAAGATAAAAGGATGATAGAAGTAGTATTTTTCCACAAGATTTATACCATCAGTTTAGTCATTCTTTTGTACAGAGTTTTGTAAAGGTTTACTCCTCATGATGATCAATAAATTTAAACTTTCATCAAAAAAAAAAAATAGAAACAACCAATCTGGTCAATTATATAGTTTAACAAAAGTTTGACTTGAAAGAATGTTGTTTTTCTTTTGAACACCAGAGATTCATTAACATACCAAGGATAATACAAGGCTGATATACATTTGTGAAATACCAAGCCAACAAGTGCCAAACCTCTGGAGACAAAAGCCCTAAGAAATAAAGAGACAAAGCCCCAACCATAGGGAATCAGTACATATAAACTTATAATGACCTAGGACCTAAAAGAATGTTGTTATTGTTAGTTTTGTTTCCTTACATATACACGTATTATATTTTTCCGCCAGTTATTGTTATTGCTATTTATGCTCCAACTAAAATGAAAATCAATGTATATGAAAACCAATCTATTCAACCACTCAAAACATGGGGGTAATTAAAACGTTAGCAATCAAATTAGCAAACCATTAATATATTCAACCGAATAATGTAAATAATAAGAGCAGACGCACTATTTTTAGAAACCAATAGATTCAAGCATCGAGCCAATATGCTTCATACTTTTGGTTCAAATAAATACAACACATTTCAGAAACCAATATATTAAGCCATAAAAAGCAAACCATACAAACCAACCTCACATAAAGAAAGGACGTGAGTGACGTGACCCTAGTTTCAATTGTACTTCTGGAGATGATATGAGCGGCATGTGAGCATCCCTGGCTTGAATAGTAGTATTACATGAATATTAATTATTTGTTATTAAATCTAACTTAACAATAATTAATGTTATGAGTTGTTCATTAATGATTAAACTTAAATAGAGATTATAATCGATATTTTAAAATAAAAATATGTTACAATATAAAATAAAATATAAAGGTTATTTGATATATATTTTTAAAAATATAAATAAAATGAGAATAATCAATTATTGGTTTTTAAGAATAAAATGATAATAATCAATTATTGATTTTTAAAATAAAAATATTTTCAATTATGTAAAAATAATTAAAAATACAAATAATACAGCATATTTATATATAGTTACAACTTTGAATTAATTAATAATACTAATTAAAATGTATTATTAAATAAAATATAATAAAATTTACATATTAAATACTTGGTGTGAAGAAGGTGTAATACTATTCATTTTACACCAAATTTAGTGGAATAATGTAATTATTGGTGTTCCATTAGAAATAAATCAAAACAAATTTGATTTTTTGGAGTTTCATTGGAATTAACCTAACAGCTTACAGAACATAAGTCGTGTACCCTCAAGATGACTTAGAAAGAGTTATCTCAATCAACGATGAAATTCGTATAAATTCAACATTTAATAATTAAACGTAGCTATCGAAATTAAATATCAAAAGTTCTTTTGACAATAGAAAATCAAAAGTTTACAGCATTTCTAAAAGATACTCTATAACTTCAAATTTGAAGTTTTGAGTTGTGCAACTTCAAATATAGAATGTCACTATTCAAAACTTCAATTTAGAAGTTTTATATTTTATTTGTATTTTAGTCTTTACAATTACACATCATATTTATAGTTCTTATATATTTAGTTGTTTATCATTTTAATCTTTAAAAATTTGTATCACATAAATATTTCAAAATTATTTTTATAAATTTAAATTTTACATGTTTTTAAATTAAAAATCAAGATAAGATTTAAAATATTTTAAAATCAGAACTATACAATAACAATATTACAAGACTTAATGTGATATTTTGTTTGTAATTTAATAATTATATGGTTTTATTCTTTTCCCTGATCATGGGATTCTTACTCTTTTTTCTTGCTAAGGTTTTGTCCCAATTGGGTTTTCTTTACTGAGGTTTTAATGAGGAGAATTCCATGGTCACAAAAATGCTTGACTTGTTTCACATGGTTAAGCATAAAGGGAAGGGTTTGAGAGGGCTAGTAGTTGTTCTTTTGGGGTTTTGGGTTGGTTTTTGTTTCTGTTTGCCTTTGTTGCATTTGGGGTTTGTTCCCAAAAATGCTAAATCGGATGCACTTGTTGTAATGAAGTTTTTGTTTGAATAAAATTTTACATTCATTCAAAAAAAAATATATATGGTTTTATTTATAATTTATATTGCTGTAATATTTTTATATATGTGATTAGTTATATATAAAAATATTATGAATTTGAATTAGTTATGAAAAATATAAGAACTTTAATATAAAATACAAATAATCTTATATATTAAAACAGAAGTCACAACTTTGATTCATGTGTTTTTTTTAAAGAAATGAACTATTAGAAAGATTATCAAGATTATCAAATATTATCTCTTTCTATTTAAAATACAAATGAAATAAATCTAACAAAATATTTTTGGCATCTTTTTAAATTGTATTTATGCATTAAATTTAAATTCTAATTATCATAAAATTTCATTAAAATTATTATTTTATTTATAAATGCAAATTAAAAATTATCTAAAATATTTCTAATTATATTTTAATGAAAATAATAATATAAATTGCTGGAGTTTGGAATATACTTATTTAAAAAGTTAGCTAGATTATGATAGAAACAAATACTGAAATTCTATTTAAAATATACAAAATAATATATTATATATTTATCTATCTATACTATCAAAACGAAGTCATTTAATTGTAGTATCACCCCATATATTTATCTTTTATTTAAAATACAAATGTTTTTGTTTTACAAATTAAAATTTATCTAGATAACACTATATATTCCTAAAACCTAAATAAAAAAACTATATACTAGAGTTTGATACATACAAATTTTTCATTCTATAAATATAAAACTTTGATAGTATTATAAAAAAAAATTAAATATATGATTTACATTTAATACTATATATTATATACACTACAAGAAAACTCGTCCATTACTAGGACGGGTTTTCCTCGTTATTTTCTAGTAAATGGCCTTTTACTAGGAAATAACGAGGAAACGCGTTTCCTCGAAACATGTTCATCGTAAAGCCATTTTCCTCGTAAGGTCCTAGCGAATTTACGAGGAAACGTTTCCTCGTAAAGGCGTGGTAATATTTTCCTCGTAAGCTCCTCGTAGCGTTTCCTCGTAAGCGCGTAGTAAGATTTTCCTCGTAAGCTCGTAGTAATAGCTTACGAGGAAATTACTAGAACTATTTACGAGGACATTACTTGGAAACCATTACGAGGATTTTGCTTCGAAATGTTTTTTTCCCTATTAAAAAAAATTAATTACAAATAATTAATTTCTTTTTTTAAAAATAATAAAAAATCAAATTATAAATAAAAAATAAAAAAATAAAATATTTTATAAATAACTAAATAATATACAAAAAGTTTTTAAATTCTTAATATACAATTAAAAATAAAAGAAACTACGGATGCTGGTCGTGAAATTGCTGAACGAACTGGTCGTCGTCCTGGCTCGGCAAATCCTCTCCATAGTTGGTTGCCGGCTGTGGCTGTGATGGTGGATGCTGTTGGGTACTTGGAATCCCTGCACGTTCCCGTCTCTGACGCAACATCTCCTGCACATGCGGGTTTCCAACCGCCATAATGTCGAGGACATCGGTGAGAGAAGTGACATGCTCGGTGAGCGAAGTCACATGAGACTGCGTCGCCTGCAACTTCGAGCGCAGCTGAGCATTGACATCATGCTGCTCCTGATGATAAGACGATGTCGCTGCAGGGACATCGTTAACCGAGCCAATCCCG